TACAAGAAACTAATTTGAAAAATCTTGTTTCGTTTTCGAGTTATTAATTTTGGCCAACAAAAGTGGTTGTTGGGACCATAGTGCCCTGGCTTGGGGGGGTGTGTGTGTGTGTGTGTGTGTGTGTGTGTGTGTGTGTGTGTGTGTGTGTGTGTGTGTGTGTGTGTGTGTGTGTGTGTGTGTGTGTGTGTGTGTGTGTGTGTGTGTGTGTGTGTGTGTATGGGGCTATAATAGAGTGAAAGACTTTAAGCAAGCATTGCTATCACCATTGCCATCGCCATCGCCATTGCCAGCGCCATCGCCATCTCGGTATTAAGTTGCAAGCGAAAAAGTTCACTTCGAAGCAGGAGGGCAGCGGCTGCGGGTGGCGGGTGCTCCGTGTAATGCAGACGAAAATGGAAAATTGGAGCAGCAGCTAACAATGCTCCCATTTTCGCATCTATTCTCTTCATCCCATTTGCAGCTCCCCCCCAGCCCATGAAGTGCCATGCGATATCCAGGGAGCAGTTTGGTCAAGTTCCCACGACACAGAAGCAGATGGAAAAGCTTTCAACTTTCAGCACTCAGCTTGCAGCATCCAGAGGAGTGCCGAGGAATCGTATCAAAATATTTGGTTAATTCGATTTTTAGCTATGATTGTCCAAACGCAATTCTTGTTGATTTCCAATACTCAAGGGTTGCGACTGGGCATCGCGGCTCGAAATAAGAATACACAACGCCAACCAACAACCAAATTTAAATTAAATTAAATTATTAAACAACGTGCTCAATATTGTATCCTAAATCCAGTAAATCCAATCCAGCAATTTTAATTACATCTAAGTGAAACACAAAAAAACAATTTAGATTAAACTCTAACTGACATTAAATAAATACGACAATACATAAGTACAATATACATGCAAATATTTACCCACTTGTTTGAAGCGAAACAAAAGCAATCAAAATGCTATTAATATTTTTCAACGAGAGCCCAAAATTAAATGAATATTTATTGGCAAATTGTGTAAAATATTGTGCCATAAAATTAAGCTGAAAGCGGGTCAGAAATTCTGTCCACAAATGATTGAAATTTATGTGTCCTGAGGCCTAATATTATTGCACGTTTAATATTCATTGTACTTTAAATTTTAGTTTAAATCAAATGTAATTATATTTTATATTCCAAAATGAAGGCCTTGTTGCTCTGCCTTTATTTTAGACTACAAATTTGTAAATAAATTCAAATAAATAAATAATGTTAGAAAAAATTATTCAATAGCTGCATTAACTTTACTTTTGGGTATAAAAGCTGCCAATGCAGCTGAAATTTTTCTGGGGTTCCTATAGAAACCAATTACTGTAGGTCGACAACTGCTTTTCAACTGATAATAAAATAAATATGTTTCTTGTCGCAGTATTCTGGCTTCCGTTGCCTTCTTTTGTATGGATTTCTTTACCCCCGAACCGAAGCACTTGACGAAACATTTTTAGCCAAGCCAATGGAAGCCAGAAAGTTGAAAGTAATAAATATATTTTCTGCTGTGGAAACCGGACAAGAATTTACATCACTAAAACTTGCGATATGAAGTGGCAAGCGCAGCAGGGGAGGAGCTGCAGGAGGAAAAGTGCCACATAGAAAATTGTATATTTTGTAACAAATATGTGGAAAGCATCTTCTGACAAATTATGACTTGGGTGATGCTCTCCACTCTCCACTCTCCCCACTTCAGTGTTTCTCTCTCTCTTATTGCTGACGGCTTTGTTTTGTTTTTTTTTCTGAGAAAACTATGGCTGAAAGTTGCCATGACAGCGCTGCCACATTATACAACAAGTGCTCGAAATAATAAAGTTAACAGCACTTTAATAGTTGGCTCATGGAAAGCCCTCCTTCACATGCCTCCCCTGCTTCATCATTCAAGAGTGGATAGGAGCAGCAGTGGCAATGGCAGTGGCAGTGGCAGGAACAGCGGCAACATGTTGCCGAGCAACGGCAAAGGGCATAAATGAGGGGCTTATCCCATCGAGCAGCACAACTTGAGCAATAAAATTGCTTTTATATACGAGACTTCTACAGAGCAGAACACAAGATGTACAGAGCAGATATAAAGGGAGGAGCAGCAGCAGTAGGGAGGAATAGGAGCATTGAAATATTCTTGGCATGCTCAGATATACAACCATTTTGGGCGGGCATGGGGCAGGGGCCTGGGATAGCAGATAAATTTTCCACTTTGAATTTTGCGCTTAATAAAAATCAAATTTAAATGCGGCTGACAACGAATGGATAACGGAGAAGCCTTCAAAGTGCCCGTGACACCCTGCCACATGTCATGTGTGTGTGTGTGAGGCAACTGTGATGAAACTCCGTCCTGGGGCCAACAATGGAGGCATTTATGGCCAGCTGATGACATGGCTGTGTTGCCACCGATTTTGATGCTGCTGCTGCTGCTGTTGTTCCTGGAATGTAATAAAAGCTAAAGCTTTAGCATCTTTCCGCTTCTAGACTGCTTCGACGTTCCACTTTATGGCGAGCACATAAAAGGAAATCAAAGGACAGCAAGGCAGCCTCTGCTGCTCCGCTGGGCAAGTCAAAGAGTCAGCCGTCGCACTTATTGGCCCCTGCCCAGACCCCGTGACCAGAGGAGCAGCAAAAGACAGAAACGGGGGTAACGGGCGAGCGAGAGAGAGCTAATAAGCTGTGTGTGTGTGAGTGTGCTGCACAGTGGCTGGAAACGGCAACGGTTGGCGTATGCTTAATGTTTTGAGCCAGTTGGCGCTTATATAAATGCCCGCCCGTTGCCCAGTGGAGCAGTGCAGCAAAGCGGAAATTTTTGCATAAATTCAATTAACTAAAAACATGCAAATGAAAACTTTTCTTTTTTTTGTTTTCGTGGAACGGGCGACAAAGCCGCGTGTGCTGCCCCATCAAGCGGGAACGGAAGCTGCCCCACAGAGCACGAACAGAAAGAATGCAACTCATTCAGATGCACACAAGTGGCAATTGGAAGTGGCTGAACCAACCCCCCCCACCCAACCCCTCTCTCTTTGTGGAGGCTGGGGAAATGTTTTCTAATTATTTCGCCCTGGCATTGCCTGCTCCAGTGGCAGCTACCTTCACACTGCGGGGCGGTGTATCGGAAGTATGAAATGCAATAATGTAACGAGTAATTGCGCAAAAAAGTAATAAAGAACGCGAAAGCAGTTACGCAAAAGGGAGGTGGCACGCTACACTGGGTGGCTGGTAGGTGGTGGGTGCTGGGTACTGGTCAAAGACCATGCAATCTGGCAGGGATAAGAGCAAGGACAGCAGGCTATCGGGGGGCAACAACAAAACTTGTCAACGACAGCAACTAAAACAAAGCCCCGCCCGGGGCTCGTAAGTGCGAGTGCGAGTGCCAGTCCTCGGTGATGTGGGCGTCGGGGAGCATGCGGCATGAGTACGTGCAACGTGGCCGCAAAAAGTTCAAGCGCCGCTCACGCGCCCCAGCCACGTGATGTTGTTGACTCTCTCTCCTCGTGCCCCGCACCATCCAAAAAGGATATTAATTTCCCAAAGGTGCAGTTTTTGCAGGCGAAAATCACGCAAAATGCGACTGGACTGAGGCGGGGTTGAGGAACAAGGGGCAGGAATCAGGGGACAACTTAACACAGCAGCGAAAGTGACACAGAACATTTCATACTCTTCGAATTTTGCAGTTGCTCATTGGCAAAACAAGGGAAAAGATTTATTCTAAAAATGCAAAGAATATGCCAAAAAATATTTACGCTTGCATAAAACCCATAAAACTCGACACCTAAGTGGATCTGCATATAAGGTGCATATAAACCTCTTTAAAAACTCTCTGCTTAACGTCTCGAACAGCCTGAAAAACTCAGTGGACTTCTCTACTCTCGATTGAATGTCCCGCAACGTGAAATAAAATTAAAACGCACGCACACAAATTAAAAACTTTCAATAGCAACAATTTTCATTTTCATTTAAAAATTCAACACCATGAGCTGGCACAGGGTGTGGGCGGGCGGAGAGCGGGGCCCGGATGTCAGTGACAGCAGGGCCAGAAGGGGGGCAGCCACCATAGAGCCTGGTTGATGGCAATTGAAGTGCCACCGAAAAGCGGGGGCGGGGCGACAAACAGATTTATGGAAACTGAAAAATATCCATTGTAATTTGACTATGCGAGTGTGGGGTGGGCTGGGGTGGGGTGGCACGGGCGGAGGGGGGTCCTAGATCCCGCCTAGGGTTAGGGATTGAAAGCAGCGCCGGCTGCCTTCTGCCTTTGGGCTGGGGGAGCGCGCAACAATTAAAACTATTTTGGCCAAAACAATATCGTTGGGAGGGGGGGTTAGGTTCCTGGCAGCTTTTGAAGTTCCCGTTGCTGCTTGTTGTTGCTGCTTGTTGTTGTTTCCTGCTCGTCGTTCCTGGTGAACATTTTATTAGAATGCTGCTGGCGGTGGCATGCCCCACGGGCCGAGGTCAAACCGCAGCACGCAAGGGCAGGGCAGGGCACATCGGAGAGGAGACAAGACAAAAGCTGATTACTTGCTGCAATGGCTGACAGGACATGGGCTGGGCTGAGCTACGCTCTGGATGCAGGAATACAGCACTGGCTATACCCTTGCCAGAAGGTTAATCGAAGTGCTAGCAAAAGTTTCCGGCTGCTGTTACAGTTCGAGTGAGGCCACAGCTATGAGGAGAAACCCCAAGAACCAATCTCTCATTATCACCCAACTGCACTGCTGTCCTGCTGAATCTAGGGTATGGATATCTTCGACTCTGGGGTTCTGTGGAACGCTGTCTCCTTCTTGTTTTGTCATTGCTGTTGTCTGTTTATTGTGCCAGCATTGCAGAAATCCAAGGCATGTCCTTTGGCCAGGGATAAACTGCAGAAATGGCAGCAGACAGGGACAGGGACAGGGACACGGACAGGGACACGGAGAGGGACACAGAACGAGGACAATGCGAATGCGAATGCGGATGAGTAGAAGCTTAGCAAAACAACAGCTGTTGGCAGCACTCTTTCGAATTTCTTTGCCGTTGCCACGTTGCCAATGGCAATCGAAATTTATTGCTTTAAGACTGAATGCAGGATGAAGGAGGCAGCCTGGACGAGGCTACTTGCATTTCTTGCCAGGATCATCCAGGTCACGCATCATGTAGCCGGCTGGCGGTGGGTCGATCAGCAGTGTGGTGGGCCCATCTAACGGTTCGCTGGAACAGCGTCCGGTGCAGGGTCCTGCGGGCGGCACCTTGCCGCACTTCAGATCACTCAAAATCGCCTCGAAGCTCACCTCGTTGAGGTCCTCGTAGAGGTCATCGTTGACGCTCGCCACGGGCCCGTTGACACAGGCGCCCAGACAACAGTCGGCCTTCAGCGTGAACTGCATGTCCTTGCTGGTCTCGCCTGGCTGCAGGCGCAGCATCTTCGAGCAGGCCTTCAGCAGATCGTCGCCGCCGCGCAGATAGCAGGGCGTGGAGGTGCACACGGAGACCACGAACTTGCCGAACGGCTTCATGTGGAACATTGTGTAGTACTTGGCCGTCTCGTAGGCCTTCATCGGATCGATCTTCAGTCGCTCGGCGACTGCCACAACGGCCGTGATGGGCAGCCAGCCGTACTGGCGCTGTGCAATGTCCAGCAGTGGCAGCAGCGCCCCCTGGCGCTCCGCTTCCGGATACCAAGTGAGCAGCGAGTCGACTCGGGCCTTGTTCTCCGCGGTGAACTCAAACTTAATCTTGTCGTACATGTTGCAGGCATCCAGCTTGGTGCGCCGACTCATCGCTGGGTTCTGAGGGACACGTAGACCGCCAAGCAGTGGCAGGGTCAGGAGTCGGAGTCCTGCTCCTCCTAGCACACCAAACATTGTGTAAAAAAAAACTATATACTATTTATCTGCTCTCTTTGTGGAATTTGAATTTGATTTTGATGTTGATTGCTCGATTGTGTGTCACTTGCTTGATATTGTATTTTTGTCCCTGCTTTGGCTTTGATGTTCTCCTCTCTGACTCCCCTGCTCCCTGATGCCGCAGGGAAAATTGCAATCAAATTTAGTTACTCGCTTCCAAGGTGACAGCCAATCGATGTTCATCTGTTTTTTTTTGTGTCCGTTCATCCAACAGATGGCTCAAATTGCATACCATCCATGCTGCCGCTTAATTGTCAAAAGAGTGGCAGAGTTTTTTTGGGTGCGGCAGCTTTTGGCTTACCAACACCTGTCCCTGTGCTCATTTGCAGCATTTTTATTATGGGTTATTACCCAGTTAATGTGTGTGTGTCTGTCCCACTGTGTGTGTATCGCTTACACGCCCTAAAAGATTAGATCGTAAAATGCAGACACATACTCGTATTGTAATGCTCCCATTTCTGATCAAAATCCATAATAAACAATTAGGATAATGGCTATTCAAAGTGGAATTGACTGCAGATGGCATAACGTAACGTTGGTTGGTAAATGTTGTAAGTACCTAAAGCACATGTTGCCTCCCCCATTCCACCACGCCAACAAAATGTATGGGTCGATGTGCTCCAAATTTTGTACGGGTATAAAACCATCAAGGAGGGTCTGGTGGGAGGAGCACTTGTAATTAAGTTAAGGTTGAAGTTAGACTGAATATAATTTAAAGGAAAGAATATGGTAACTGGGGTAAGCTCTATCTTTAAAGTTATTTTCTATGGAGTGAATTTAGCAGCTCAATGGATTAAATAATAATATGGAACTAAGGATTTAGTTTATAGTTAGTCTAAGCAGACTTTCAGTGTATTCAATTTGTATTTAAATTTCTTTTGTACTTATGTAAGTATAATATACATATGTACTTCTGATTTGTATTTGCTCTGTGTTTGCTGAATCAATGATTATACGGTTGTAGAGAAGCTGCATGGAGGTAGCCTCTACTTGACTCTTCCCAAGTTGTTTTCAAGAGTATTTTGATGCACATTTTCTGAGCAAGAGCCAACTGCTTATAAGCATAGTACACATCCGCATATACCCGTAAATATATACACAAAAAATAGCCATAAAATAGTCTGTAGGAGGGAAAAAGTTGGACCCAGCAGCAGCAAAGTGGCTAGTGGGAACTGGTAGCTGGTAGCTGGTAACTGCAATTGGCCACTAAGTACTTTCCAAAGTCTTTTGCATGGCGGCAGTTCACATAATTCGTGTTGTGATAGTCTCGGCCTCGTTTGAGCCTCGTCCCAAAAACCGTTTTCAGGTTCTCGTTCTGCTTCTTGTTGGTTGGGCTGTTGGTTTGTGCTGGGTGCTGTGTGCTGTGTGTTGTGTGCAGCAGCAGTAGTCGAAGTTGTTGGCCCTAAAGGCAGACAGCAGTTTTCGGTTTTTGGGTTTTTTTTTGTGTGCCCAAAAAACATAATTAAGTGCTTGGCTTGGCTTGGCTTGGCTTGGCCTGGCAAGTTGTTGGCTATACGGAAATTTGTCATAACATGGGGGAGAACTGGGGAAGGGGTGACCATAACGAGCAGCAGAACCGTTGATAATGTACTAAGTAGTAATAAATTTTACTTTTATAATAAAACTACAAGCAAAGCCAAAAGAAAACTGAAACTGGTGGAGGGGTGGCGATGGGGAGCAGCGAAAACAAACTGGAAATCAAGAGCGAGAGCGAAAAGTGAAATGGTTGCTGCCTGCCTGCCTGCCTACCCTTTGACCCACCGCTCAACAAGTTGGCAAAGTGCTAGAAAGAGTCCCGTTCCCCTCAAAGCAGAACAGAACAGACAGAGGGATAGACAGAGAGACAGAGAGACACACAGCAACGTCAACGTCGTCAACCGAGCTGATGATGTGGCAATGGCCAAGAGCCGGACTTTAGTTGTAGTTGGCAAGTGAAACGCAAAAGTTGAAATTAAATCAAACATCAAACTGAATCGCAAAAGCCAGGAGCGTAGCCAGGACAACCAACCCACACCCCCACCCCCACCCCCACCCCCAACCGCTGGGCAACATGAATCGAAATGGGGCAGAGACCAAGTGCCAAAAGTGTTAGCAACTTTGTTATATTTCTGTTGATTTTACAAAACTGCGGCAGGGCACGCACCCAGCAGACCGCACAGACCGAGCAGCAGGCGGGTGGGCGTGATGGATTATCAAAGTTCGAGTTTAGCGCCCACAGCGCCCATCGGCGTACAACTGGAGCGGTGGCAGGGGCGGCGGCAGAGGTGGAAACTCTTCATGTTTTTAATTTTGCAAAAATATACGAAACTTTATACGGCTATGCCACAGGCAACACCCCATCTAAACTGAAGACTGAAGGGCGTGCCCAGCTGCCACAGCTGTACCCCGTACCCAGACGGGTCAGCAGGCAGCCGTTCCATGTGCTGGAGAAACTGCAGCAGGACTTGGAGGCGAAGCTGAAGCGGACCAGCACATTGAAGCCTTTCAGTGTGCTGCAACAATTGGTCCTGGATCAGCAACAGCAGCAGCAGCAGCACTCCGTGCAGTCCAATGCCAGCTTCCACATTCTCGAGGCCCTGCACAAGGATCAGCAGGTGCATGACAGCAAAACCACGACGCCAAAACCTTTTCGCGTCCTGCAACAGCTGGACATGGATCTTGAGGAGGCAAACAGGCACACCACCACAATGAAGCCCTTCCACATTGTGAATGCCCTCATCAAGGAAGCGGTAAAGCAGCATCAGCATCACCTGGAAGAAGAGGATGCAGCAGCAGCAGCAGCAGCAGCAGAGGAGGAGGAGGAAGGGAGCTTCGAGATTCTGGAGCCCATCGCTTGGGAGTTGGAACCGCAGGCGCAGCACAAAGGCGTGCCGCAGGCACAGGGTCGGGCAAAGGAGAGTCAGAAGCGGAAGAGAAAGCGAATTCGGCGCCGAAGAAAGAGAATTCGACGACGCAGGAAGCGGACACGTCGGCGCCGTCGAAAGAAGCGCAAAAAGAGACGCAAGAAGCGCAAGAAGAAGAAGCACAAGGGCGACAAGGGTGACAAGAAGAAGAAGAGGAAGAAAAAGGGAAAGCGCAAGAAGAAGAGAAAGAAACAGAAACAGAAGCCGGAGCCAACGCAGGCCCCTGGGCTGGGCCTCTTCCAGCCGGCCCAACTGATCTTCGCGAATCCCACCAAGCAGCCCCACTACTACCACCATCCACATGACGCCGGATATCCCTCCTATCCCGCCCAGACCCCATCCCTGACAGTACCCAGCGCCCTGTTGGCCAGCCTAACCACTACGCAGCCTCCGGCGACCACCCAACGTCCCTTCAGCAAGATCAAGGACCTCCTGCGGCACAACAGCCTCTTCAAGAAGAAGAAAAAGGAGTACCTCAGCCATGTGGGACAGGTGCTCTATCCGTTCGTCAAATTCGTGGCCTTCTTCACGGTTCTCAATCCCTTCACCCTGGGCGTCTTTCTCTTCACGCTCATCTCTCCCGCAGTCTTTGGCTTCCTGGGCTTTGTGGCCCTCAGTGTGCTGGTCAAGCCATTCCTCAATCTGGTCTTTGGAGTCAAGCAAAATGTGGATGCCTTCGATCGCAAGCGTTTTCTCGCCAACAAGCGGGCCGAAAGACTGAAGCTGGGCCTGCGTCCCGTCACCATTCACAAGCATTATTATCAGCAGAAGCCGCTCGGCCACTCGGCGCCGCCGCTGAAACTGCGTCCTGTGGGGGGTCACTGGCGGCGGCAATCGGGACATTTTCAGGCACCACCACGGCCATCAGGCTCACCCTCAGCTCCACTTGCTGCACCTGCAGCACCACCAGCCGGACATATGAAGCACTACAATCCCCTACTGCCGGACCACCGCGAGGCACTGGACATGGATTATGACTATGTCTAGAAAGGGCTAATCGCAGTTATTATTTTATGCTAAGACAAAGGCCTCGATGCTCGCTATATTAAAATTAATAAGGCTTATTTTAATACAATTTCCAATGTATTTAAGTTCATTTTAATGGTAGAAATAAATTTAGTGCTAGCCAGCTGTGAAGCATAAAATAAAAGCCACCCGCTTTCCAAGAAATCATTTGAATCATATCTTAATTAATAGCCAATAACTATGACATTTTCTTTCCATATTCTACTCAAATTTTCCAATCCTTTAGAACACACAAAAATATCCATTAATTACTGCAGACAAAAACTAAGCTCTGAAGAATGAAAAGTTCCTGGCACACTCACACGTAACCAACTCCGATTTGAGCGCCATCATCCCCCTGCAAAATAATCAGGGAAGGAATCAGAAGAAACTGCCACACTTTGGGGACTCCAGTGGTGGCACAGCATACTCGTATTATGTATATTTTTCATGCATGTGGAAGGTTCTAAGCTTGCGCGTGGGCCATTAAAATTAACATGTTGGTAGAGTGGAAATTAACCGGAGCCAACCAATCAGCGGAGAGCATGAGCCGAAATCTAATTAAAAAGTTTTGCAAAGTTGGCTGCCGCATATTGCTAATGCTGCCGCTGCTACAGTTGCTGTTGGGTGCTAACCACTAACCGTAGACCATCTTGTGGATGTCCAAATCTTTGAGCGACGTCAGGCGTTCGCCGTAGCCCAACTGCAGCAGCTGCTCCTCCCGCCGATCGTCCACGAGCAGCACCTGGTGCAGGGGCAGATACAGCTGATCGTGGGTGCGCTCGTACAGCTTGCGGGCATTCCACAGAAACAACGCCACTTCCTTGACAAACTTCTCATGGCGCCTCAGAAAGCGCCTCCTCACGCGGTCATGACGCAAAACGTCGCACAGTGGACGATGCACAAACTTCTCCACGGCCCTCAGCAGACGCATCATAATGAAGCGACGATAGCGTCGCTTCACCTCCGCAATGGGCATTTCGTGTGCATTCTCCTGCTCCTTGTCCTGCTTTTTCATGTAGTTCCAGAGGGTCATGGACAGAATGAGGGACACCTTGAAGATGATAATGTACAGCATAACCACCATGGGGCCGACCATGTGGTCGGTTAGCTGATGCTTCCACCACAGCAGATCGCAGTTATTCCGCACGTAGCTATAGTGCATGATCCCCACCAACAACAGCCATATAATGGTGTACTTGGCCAGCGACTCATGGTTCTGGCGGATCAGGCGAAGCGTCCGACGGCACCATTTCGGTATGGAAACCATTCTGTGACAGACTTTAACTCGGAATTAATTTGGGTTTAAGTTTAACAAAATTTAATAAAATGAAAATTCATTGGTGGAAATTTGGGTCTATGATTTATCAAAATTAGTTACAGTTTTTCCAAGTTCTGTCAGAGAATTGCTAACAAAAAAATGAAATAAACTTCCTTTACAGCTAGGATTATTTCTAAGAACTCGAAAGGTTAGAACACCCGCCCGCTCCGCGCTCCAAAAAAGAAACACCCAGCGAGGTGGTTAAGGGTTCAATTATTAGTTGGAAATCATTTCAAGTACTTTTGCAGTTGATGCTCTTCTTGGTATTCCTTTTCTGCATCATCCTATTGACGGCATTTTCACTTTGTTAACACAGTGCACAGAACAGAACAGAACGGAACGGAACAGAACAGAACCAATATCAATTGCGCCTTTGCAATTTGCCATCGGTTTGCTAGCCTTCTTCATAATGGAATCGAATCGCCTTGGGAACGCCACTTTGTGTGGCTCAAAACAAGTCGTTTGTCGCAAGGAGCTGCTTCTGCTTCTGAATCGCACTCTCTGAAGCAATTGCTGGGAGTAGATTGCTGTTGGGTGGAGAGAAGCAGCAGCTGCCATAGAAATACGTCTTGTCAGCCTTGTCGAGTGCCGACTGCCAGTCGGAGGCAAATAGTAGAACGAGTAATAATAAATAAAATTGTAGCCAATTCATAAGGATTTTGCATTTTGTCGCTTCAATCAGGCCATGGGATGATGTGATGATGGTTTCCCTCGGACAGATGGTAAGAAATGGTTGCTGACGCTGCTGCTGTGTCTCGGTGGAAGGGTGGGGAGCAGCAGCCATAAGACAGGCAAACAACATTCATTCATTCTTATTTGCCAAGTGCCGATTGAAGTTGAGCGCAGTACTCCCTACTTCCCTCCCCCACTTCACAGCCCACACCCGGCCAACCCTCCCTAAGCACAATGTGCTGTGGGTATAAATAACGGATTTCCTGTTATAAAATATTTGTAACGACATTTTTCCACCGATTTATGTTTGCCACATATACAGATAGATATTTATGCGCCACTACCACGATTATGTAGTAAAATATAGGGTGAATATATATGTATATATTGCAATGTGCTCCCTCTATATACTCCACTCTGGTTGCTGCTGCTCTCCTTCCTCGAAAGCCCTGCCAATCGCTGCCACTCAGTCATAGGGTCTGGCTGACAGTTATGGCTATATGGATATCGATGGATGTGCCCGGGTAACGTCTTTGGATTTTAGCTGTCAACGCAGCAGCAGCAAATTTCATTTGCTTTAAATGTGCTCCTCCTTATGAGTAGAGTTGAAGTTGGATTTGAATTGATGATGCAGTAACTCTGCATCACGTTGCAGTTGCATTTGCAGCTCCATAAATCACAGTCCTGCACGTATTAATATCTTTGAATACGAATAATTCCCAAGCCCCTAAACACCCACAAATGTGGAATAATAAAACTAAAGGGCAAAAAGGAGCAAAATAAACTGAGAGGCAATCGATTGGCAGTTTTCAGCGCATCGAATTCAAAAAGGTAAAGTACGAGAAGGCACCTTGAATGATCTGTAAAATTAGATTAATAGTAAATAAAATAGCTGCAAACATAAACTTATTCCGCACCTTAAGGACTGCAGCCAGACTAACACGAAAGTACTTCAGACCAGTTATAAAGAACGGCCTGGAGTTCAGTTGAATGGCCAATATGACCAGCTTCATGAGCCTGAGATTCTCCTGCAGATTTTTTGATTGATGGACCACCTGCTCCCAGTCGGCGGTGTAGTACATTAGGGCCAAATCATCCGTCTGTCAGAGAGCAAATTGAAGCACAAGATTAGCAGAAATGTGATGCAGAAATTAAAAAGGGGAATGTAGCTCAGGGATTAGTAATACCGTTTTGTAGAGTATGGAGCCAAGCATGCCAAAGGATAGTAGTTCCATGAACTTGGCCAGAAACCACACAATGTATGCCACATTGCCGAACGGACTCTGTGGTGAGAGAGAGAGAGAGCAACAGCGACAACAGGGAATGAGAATACAAATCCGTTAGAGAATAAGAGAACTTTGCCTCTCACCGTATAGGCCTTGAAGCTGAGGGCACACAGGAGACCCGCACTGAAGGCGAACATCACAAAGATGCGCAAACTAAACTCCTGCTCGATCTCTTCGCCAAAATCATGAAGGGCACCATTCCGGCGCAGGATGTGTGTCAATGCCCGGCGATAGCTGGCAGCCATCTCCACTTGGTTGGCCTCCCACAACAGACGCTGGGCCGTACGTCGCAGATCCTGTCCCAGCTGCACGTAGCGGGCATTCAGGTGCATCATCATCTCGCCGAGCACATTGAGTTCTCCGAAGAGCATGCTGGTCACAATCACTCCCACCCAAAAGTTGAGCCCAACCAGGGGTATGAAATAATGCAGTTGCGTGTTGTCGAACGGATAGACCTGCTTGTAGAGCATCTCGCGGCGATGGTAGATGACATTCTGGACGGGCACCAGCAGAAAGTTGAACAGGGCCAGCAGGTAGACAATCGAATTGAGTCTCGTGCTACGCATCTGACGCTGAATGTCGGCAAAGAGCTGCGGCTCCGACGCCTGCTGCACGTAAATATTCTTGTAGAAGCGCTGCAGCAGGCTCCTGAAGCGGTTCTTGTGCCAGGCCAGCTGGAAGCAGCGTATCTGCATCTCCACCAGTATCAGATAGGTGGGCATGCCCGTCAGAAAGTTGTCTATGTCGTTCCGATTCACAATCAGATAATGAAAATCCACCTCATTGTGCTCGCAAAAGATCAGAAAGCCAACGATCAGTATTAAGCGCTCCAAGTGCTCCGTCCTGGCAGTCACGCCCACCTCCAGGGGCCAGGAGATGTGATTGAGCCTCCGATAGAGGGCCACGGGCCAGGGCAGTGGAGCGAGCTCCCCATCCGCCAAACGGGGACGATACCGAGTGCCACCTAACATGTCCGGGCCGTTGATTGACTGCAGCCACTCAGATTGGACATTGGCTGGTAGCCCATTTATATTCTAATTCTAAATCCGATTGCCACAGCCAGACTGATGAAATATTAAATTCAAGTATTCCGCAATGCTAAATTATTCAGTTTCATTTGCGTTCGTCAAAACAAACCCACAAACGGCAATCGAAACCCGCAACCCGAAACCGAAACAAAAAACCGTAGAGCTCCAGGGCCCCAAAACCCCAAAAGGCAATATCTCATTATTAATTCGAGTTTGTTTGGCGAACTCAAATCAAGTGCAAAAGTTTCAAGTTAATTGGGGATAATTATTAAAGCTGTCGAAAGGGTCTTTAACCGACTGGAATCTATGCCTTTAGAAGTGGTTTGTATGTGTTTGGGAGGTAAGTAAATCCTTGTTAGATGAAACATCAGGCAGTGTCAAGAGTTGGTTTATGGTTCAGCAGAATTGCATCAACATCGTACCATGACTATGACAGCTGCCATAGAAACAATGAATCTGCAAGGGTATTTAAGGCTGCAAAGGTAGGAGTACCCCCGAAGCCAGGAGTCCTTTCTTGTTATGATTATGACAAAATAACACTGACATAATTCCAATAAAAATGAAATTGCCGTAACACACTGACTGACAGCCCTGCTACGCTTTTGTCCGGCAGCTGAACAAAAGCCCCACACAAACGAAGAGGCAGACGGGAAGGGAAAAGAAGGGAAGGCGCAACGCTGTAATGTTGAACAGAGTTTCCTCAAGCAGCTCCACAAAGTATGCACCTGGGACGCACCTGGACCTGGCCCTGGCCCATGCGTGTGTGTGTGTGTGGACCTGCTCCTGCTCCTGTCCATGTTCATACTCGCATCAAAGGGGAACGATGGCAAAGGCGTTGAAGCAGAGCAAATTCAATTCACTACTGTTGATTCTGGCCCTTCGTTGCTGTTCTTTTTGTTGTTTGATAAAAGGATGAAGACCCAGCGGCAAAAGGGCCTCACAACAGCAACAACAACATATACAAAAAAAAAAAATAAATACAAAAAAACCCCAAATAATATTAATATGCAAATTGAGTTTTTTAGTTGAGTGATCTAAGCGGATAACTGAGGACCAGACCAAGTCAAGGCGAACGAAAGCCTCCAGAGACCGACAGACACACAGATCCAGACCCAGACAGAAGGAATCGGGAATTTCTCTCTCTCTCTCTCTCTGTCTCTCACATTGGGGCACTTTGTTTTTGCTTTATTGATTGCCTGGGGGAATCCGGTATCGCCGACTCACACACATGCGAGTAGCCAAGTATGAGTACGTACTGCTTAAATGCGAGTTTCGAATCAATTGAAATCATATTTTATTAAACGTTTACGAGGCCATTTTCCACAGCCGCCGACGGCAAACACACACGCAGCCATCGAGACATGGGCACCAAGTCAATATACATACATCTGGGTACATATAAATCAGGAATCTGTAGCAAATATGTATATACGAATACGAATATACGGACACCCACCACAGATACATAAAGAAATATTTACAAGGATGCCTTCCATGCACCCGCACCGCTGCATACAAAGCCAGCGGCAAACGCATCAAATATAAACACATAAAAACAAGTCGGGAAATCTGTTCTCAAAGTTCCGACTAAAAGATACCTTCAACGCGGGAATTATTCAGCCATGAAAATACGCTTAAGTATCTGACATCTGTTGAGGTTTCTTCATACATTTGCAAGGATGCAGCATACCCTAACAGTTACGGCTAGCGGGTATAGTTGGAATATATATTTATAAATATCTATAGGGCCAGCCACAGGGGCGAAGTCTGGGGTTATGAAATTGTGCTGATTCTTTTGCTTTTTTTCGCGCGTGAAAAACAAATTCCAAAAGAAATTGAAAACAGCCAAACGCAGATTGAAAGCAAACGAGCAATGGACCCGGGCAAACAGAAGGACCTGCGAAAAGGCACGAACTAGGGCAAGTAAACGGGAAGCACAGAAGCAGAAGCAGAGAATCAGGAGTGGCACGCCAATGCTCAGACTGTGGAAAGCTGCCCGAAGGATTTGCCAAATGTCACGCAACTTTCTGCCACAGCTAGGACTGGCACAGTTGCAGGAGGGAAGCAAAGCCAAACACAGAGCACCCTGCAAGCAATTGA